GTCGGGGAAGGGGGGCGATAGGGGAGGGACGGTTGAAGAAGAAGAAGAGGAAGAAGGAGAAGGGGAAACGGAACGGGGGAGAAAGAAGGGGAGGGAGAAGGAAGGACGATGACAACGACGATAATAATAAGGAGGAGAAGAAGAAGAAGAAATGAGGGGGAGAGGAAAGAAAAGGAAGGAGAAGAAGAAAAAAGAATTTTTAATGGTCACTTACCTGCGCGTCGGCTTTGGGATCGGTGACGTGGCAGCGACGACGACGAAGGCAGCGAGGTGCTGATGTGTCAGCAACGACGACGAAGGCAGCGAGGTGCTGACGTGTCAGCAACGACGAAGACAACGGCGATGGCGATGACATGGCAGTGATCGACGATGACGAGGCAGCAATGTCAATGATGTGGCAACAACGACGATAACGGGACAACGATGGTGATGACGTGGCAGCGGCGCCGAAGCAGGGAGGGAGGGAGGGCCGTTAGCCGCTCCGATACCAGTGTGACGTGGCTGAGGCAGAGCAGCGAGGCTGGGAGAGAGAGGGAGAGTGAGAGCACACACACACGCTCACTCAACTCAACGCGGACTCAACACGACTCGACGGACGCAGCCACAAAGTGGCAAAGTGGCCAATTCGCAATCTTGGATTCCAAACACAATGTGGCAGCAAGTCACACTGAAGCACAAGCACTGAGGCCGAAAACTGAATGCCCGAACTCAGCTTGAGTCCGGTCTTAAGTACCGGACTCAAGTTCAGTCCTGAGGGCTGAAGTGCAATTTGCCTCAGGGCTGAACTGAGAATCAAAGGTCTGAGTCTCGGCGCCAGAATGTGGGATGGCGCCAAGTTTCGAAATCCGAAAGTGTCAAGGGAGGAATTTGAGAACGGGCGCCAACTGCAGAGGGCGCCAACAGTCAGGAACCGGAGATCAGAAACTCAAAAAGAATAAAATAGCAGCCTGGCGAGTGGTAACCCGTGGACCAGGGATCGATCTCTGGCTGAGGCCGTAACAAGATCAGGATCTGTTAACTCTGTAGGGAATAGGCCCCGATAGAAGCAAGCTATAGCACAACCTCCGTAGCTGCCAGCTTCTTATATGGCTTGTCGACCACGACAACCAGGCAGCTACTCAGCTGAGAGGGGCCAAGAGTAAGGAGTCGCAGATGACTAAGAGATTGTTGAAACAGGCTTGGAAAAAAAAAAAAAGAAAGGGAAGTAATCAATGCCGTCCACTCGGACATCTCAACCATAATGGGGAGGAGCGTGTGTGTGTGATGTCCTTGATGTTTTCATTATGGACTTGCCGGAGGAATAGGAACCGGACTGTCGCTCCCCAGAATGGTAGGAGCCAGAACCGAGAGGTTCTGCTGTTTACAAACAAAAAAGAAATAAAAAGGAGTAGTGCCAAATTGGGCTGTGAGTCCCGCGACCAGATTGACACAATAGAAGAAAGGAAAAAAAGGCAAAAGAAGAAGAGGAAGAAGAAGAAGAAGAAAAGAAGAAGAAGAAGAAGAAGAAAACGAAGAAGAAAGACCCAGGCCTACAGGAGTAATTGACTCAGGTTCAAAAGGTGAGGGGTCTTTCCTGTTTTGGAAGGTATGTCCAAAACAGGAAAGGACTGAGTAAAAAGACCTGAGCGTTCTATTTGCAGAGTTTCCGATCATGGCCATCGTTATCCTCATCCTCACCCCATCGGCATCCTTATCCTCATCATCATCATCATCATCATCATCATCATCATCATCATGTGATCATCATGGTTGTAACTTCTAAGCGTCATGTACTGGGAGAGGACTGTTATGATTGTCCATCGCCGTTATCAATGAGCATCGTCAATGAGCCCATCTCCCTGCCTAATCTGGCTTCTGGCCCTCTCTATCTTTCTGTCTGGCTCCCTCTTATTGAGTCGCACATGTAAAACGTTTTTTAATGATATAATCGGATAATAATCCTCAAAAGACTCGGCGTAAAAGTGCTCGATGCCCTGACTCAATGGTTGGTTGCTTATGAGGTATCACAAATGTAACAGGATGTAGACAGTGTTGTCTGTCCCTCCATTCGCTGATTCACCTGGTGTCCATCAGCCTGCATGCAGCTGTCTGTTGATCGATCAACTTGCCTGCCTTTCCAGGTTTCCATCCTTGTCCAAAGAATAAACCCTAGCTGAAACACAATCCTAAGCATGCACAAGAAAAAACAGTGTGCTAATTGTGGCTGGTTGGTTGTGCTGCTGTTGTCCTTTCTGTGGATTTTTGGAGTGCATCTGCATCTTTCTCCCTGTGCTACACCTGGTGGCTGTCTTGTGATCTTTCGTGTGTGTTGTCTCTCTTTCCCACCCACACAGCTACCTACCTGCCTACCTGCCTACCTGCCTACCTACCTACGTACCAGCCTGCCTGCCTACCTGGCTGCCTCCTTCCCTCCCTGCCTGCCCATCTCCCTCCTTCCCTCCTTGCCTGCCTGCTGCCTGCCTGCCTACCCTCCCTGCCTGCCTGCCTACCGGCCTGCCCTGCCCTGCCCTGCCTCCCCACCCTCCTGCCCGCCCCTGGCCGCCCCCGCCTCCGTCGCCTTGCACCTCCCTGCTCCTACCTACCTACCTACCTTCCTTCCTCTGCCCCTCCCTGTCCACGCCTCCCTGCCCCTACCTACCTACACATCTACCTACCTACCTGAACCCTAAACATCAAATTTACAATCACATTTGCCCACTTGCCTCGTGCCCTCCATACTGCTACACACCTACGTGCTCACCTACGTGCTTGCCTGAGACCCCTACAACCCACCCAAATATGTTTACTGAGCCTTGCTCGTTATCCTTGCGCCTGCCTGTACCCTTACATATCTCTACCACCTCTCCTACTTATTCCATACCTACCTGTTTTGTGTGTCTCGGACCATGGGAAGCAGACAGGGAATTTGTTGACGACCGTCATAACACACGGGCTGTTCCAGGTAATCATGACAGCTGATGGTGTTTGGCAAAAGAAGAGCGATGACGAGAAGAAGAACCGTAGAGAGGAGGAGCAGCTGCTTGCCTTTCTTGGGGAAAGGCACCGCCAACTGCCGCAGCAGATGGCTGGGACGGAGGATGTGCCATCCAATCGAAAAGAGTAGAAGTCTGGAATGTACTTACCTCTTACATCTTGACTTGTAAGTTGCTCAGCCTTCAACATATCAAGTAGTCGCCCATTACGCTAGTCAAATGTGTTATCCACCAACTAGCCAACTGTAGTTCTCAGCATAGCTAGGTAGCTGGCTGGCCATCTACCTACGTACGTACGTACGTACGTACGTACCTACCTACCTACCTACCTACCTACCTACCTACCTACCTACCCACCAGCCTAAGTATCTACCTACCAGCCTACCTACGTGCCTACCGACCTAGCTACCTCCCTACCTACCTAGCTACCTACCTACCTACCTACGTACCAGCCTAGGTATCTACCTACCAGCCTACCTACGTCCCTACCTCCCTACCTCCCTACCTACTTACGAGCCTACCTACCTAGCAGCCTACCTGTCTACCTACCTATCTACCAGCATACCTACCTACCTGTGCACCTACCTACCTGTGTATCCACAGCCTTAGCATACCTACCTACCTGTGCACCTACCTACCTATGTACCCACAGCCTTACCTACCTACCTACCTACCAACGTACCAGCCTACCTGCCTACCTACCTACCAGNTACCTGCCTACCTACCTACCAGCCTACCTGTCTACCTACCTATCTACCAGCATAACTACCTACCTGTGCACCTACCTACCTATGTACCCACAGCCCTACCTACCTACCTACTTACCTACCTACCAGCCTACCTGCCTACCTACCTACCTACGTACCGGCCTACATGCTTGCCTACTTCCTACCCACCTACCTACCTACCTACCTACCAGCCTACCTACCAGCCTACCTACCTACCTATCAGCCTACCTACCTACCCACCTACCCACCTACCTACCTACCTACCTACCTACCTACCTACCTACCTACCTGCCCACCTACCTACCTATCAGCCTACCTTCCTACCTACCAGCCTACCAGCCTATCTACCTACCTACCAGCCTACCTACCTACCTACCTACCTACCTACCTACCTACCTACCTACTTATCAGCCTACCTACCTACCTACTTATCAACCTGCTTATCAACCTGCCTACCTACCTACCTCCCTACCTACCTAATGAACGGAATGACCACAAAGTTTCCTTACACAGAAAGTTGGTCCATCGGACTCCATCCTATCATGTCTATGACTGAGTACGGTGGGGTGTCAGGTATCTAACGTCGGAACTGAATGCTTCATCCTTTTAAGGCCGTAAGGGTGGCCATAGCGCGCGGCAGGAATGGTTACGAAAGTTGACAAAAAGGACAGCGGAAGTCCTCCATGTAGAGTTAACAATCGTTTCTAGTAACTACGGCAGGAATGGGTGCTAGGAAACTGAGAAAAGATTTGGCCAATACCTTTCAATTTTCTGACCATCGGTACGCGGCAGTAGCTGTGACAAAAGTCACAAAAGTACACCACAACGGATGGAAGAACATCCGTGTCTCACAGTTCGAGAACTGGGTTGTCCGGGAAGTCCGGGCAAGCACTCCTTTTGGCTGTATGAGCACTATATATATGCAGTAGTGATTATAATGTAAAGTAGAATCAGTAGGTGACAAAAAACAGAGAACCTCATCCATTTATATTGGGGGAGTTTGTCGTTCGTTGTGACTGACCACAGACGCGTGGTAATGAAAACTCAGGAAAAGTCAGGAATGATCGATAGTTCATCTCTTATCCYCCCCCCCCCCCCTCCCTCGCGCCGCCGCCCCAAATAGACAACGTCAGGAACGATTAAGCTCAGCTCGTCTCTTCTTTCTTCCAAATGCAGTATGTTGAGAGTAGTTTGTATTGACTTTGTAAATAATTTAGACAAATATGACGGAGGAGATCGTCCTTTGTTGATTAGGGACCGTTGTGTAATCATCGACTATTTAGGGGTGTCTGAACGGAGGGCAGAGACCCCGATCTTTCGTCCTCTATCGACGATGGCTGTTGTATGCAATGCTAATTGCAGCGAAGTACACAGAAGATTTGCAGCGAAAGTGGACAGAAGATGGGAGGCGGCCTCTTTTCTTACATAATTGGGATTCGTGTTGCGTTAGGTCATAGCGGACGAAGCGGCGTAGTTTCCTCTTGTATTATTTATTTATTTATTTATTTTCAAGTTTTAACCTTTTTAAAGACTCTTTTCGCTTGTTCTCGTCGAGCAAAAACTTGTCACCGCAGGGTGTGTATCTTTCCACGGACAGCGAAAAGGGGGATCTACGGACGGCGGAAAGGGGTCCGCTGAAAGGTATGAATCAGTTTCTCATTTGACAGCCAACAATCACAGACTGATACTATACCTTCTTTTGTTTTCTCTTGTCACCGAGGAAGTACTTCGGAGAGGGGGGTGCCAATCATATACGGAAAGGGTGCTCCAACCACCTTTACCACCGAGTGAAATGGGAAACATGCATCCGAGATAAAGAGGATGGTGAAATGTGCATTGTCAAACGTGTCTGTAGCTTGTGCTTCAGGTCACTCATCACTGTATAGCACCAGATAGCTGATAGCCAATACCTGATAGCCAATAGCTGATGGCTGAGAGATAATAGCTGATAGTAGCTGATAGCTGATAGCTAATAGCTGATACCTGATAGCTAATGGCTAATATCTGATAGCTGATAGCTGATAGCTGATAGCTGATAGCTAATGGCTAATAAAAGGGCCTTTACCCGATATAGGCCTCAGGCCTTGTAAAAAGAAAGCAGCACGGGCCTTGAAAAAGTAAAGCATTGTGAAAAGGTATCTCGTCAGAGCTBARAAACGTGAAAGCAGGTCAAAGGTCAAGTTCTCTATCAACAGGCATATTTAAAACTAAGGCAAAGGGCATTGTCAAAAGACTTACCTGTTCACCAGGAGATGTGTATGTCATGTCTGTTTGGGTAAGGGTGTGTCTGTACGTGCAGGCAGTGTGTCTGTTCGTGCCAAGTAAAGTGTCTGTTCAAGCAGTAAATGTGTCTGTTCGTTGAGAGTTGTGCCTGTCCGAAAGTAAAGTCAATAGGCACAGTCCCAGTTCTGGTCTAAGTCCAGGGGTCAGTCCAGATCCAGACTTTCAAGTCCAAATTYAGGCCGGGAGGCCTCAGCAGCAGTTGAACTTCGTTTGGGACTCTACTGGGACACATGCAATGCAGGGTCTGGGACAAAAGGAAGGCTGGATTGAGCCAATACAGACCCAGCGAGGAGTATAAAGGAGGCAACCAGCCTCATTCCTAGCCAGATCTCCACTGGCTGCCAATGCGTGGAAGTGCTGGTGCACTTGTGCGCTGAGTCAGGAGGAGCAGCGCTGGAGGAGAAGATGCGCTGGAGGAAGGAAGATGCCTGTACGCTGGAAGTGATGCAGCCATAGCTGCCCAGCGAGTTGGCATTAGAAGTAGAGGGTTAGTATGTAGCTATGAGTAGTATCCAGAGTAGATCCTCATGAGTTTTGAAGAGTGTATATGCATCATAAGAGGAAGGGATTGAGGCTGAGAGTGTTCATTCAAGGTTGGCTATGGAAGATACTTACCTGAGTTGGATGTGATCTGCAGAGGTRGCATTRATGRGTGGTGACCACATTGATGACTTGGAGACTATCTGCAGGGGTAGCACTGATTCACTGGAAGGCATATTGATGAGTTGGCAAGATATTGGTGTTGCGCTGATGAGCGCTGGACTCAGGGAAACTTTGAAACACTTTGTATTCATATTTTTGATAATATAAGCTGTGAAACTCGGTTCTCATCTTCTCTACCTTTGTCTATTATCAGACTACTGTTCGTTGTGTGTGGGAGAACGATGCAAGGCATGTACACACTTGCGTGAGATGGTCTCCAGGACCCATGCA